CCCACACCAAAGTTGTAAAGTTCGTTTTCAACATAACGACTTGTACATCTCATTGTTGCAATGGGTCCACCTGTATCCCTATTTAAACGATTTGTTTTTCCCCTTCCCCTCCACAAATTATACCAACATCAAAAACAGTGAAAGCAGGGGTTATACAAAGCAATAAAGAAATAATCTTATAAATGTGTTAGAAACAATCAATCGCATGAAAGAAAAAAACACTTGAATACATACCTTAGGGTTCATTTCCCTAACATCACCTTATCTGACCTTTTCTGCTTGACTCAGACATACACTAGATATTGTAAATAAGGGAAACCATGGGACCTATGTTTTTTTGGGCCTGGTTTACGTCACTTAATGTAATTTTTTCCAAGCCTTTCCATTTCCTAACAAATGGGGCAATGACATTCTTTTTGATGGAGGCATAGAATTCCATTGTGTATATATACCACATTTTCTTGATCCATTCATCTACTGAGGGACATCTGGGTTGGTTCCATATCTTAGCTATAGTAAATAATGCTGCAATAAACACATCCATTGTATATCCATTTAGCCATTTATCTCTCTTTCTTTCAATATCCTAAATGATGTTTGTAAATTGGCTTTTCAGAACAATTCAATATTACAATTATTGTATTATAGGAAGCCTCAAAAAAAAAAATCAGGCTCTCAGTAGAACCTTGTCCAGCTCCTATCGAACACACTGTGTTGGAATCAAAAGAAAATACTCAGAGCTGTTGAAACTGTAGCCTCATTACCAAAGCTTGAGGAAGACTCAAAAGCTCAGAATAAACTCACCATGAGTTCCCACTCCCTGCAGTTATCTCCCTAGGTTAAGCTAAAAATTAGGCCAGGAGTTTCCATCACACCCTCAGGAACTTTAAAGAGGCCTTTCTTTTGTCCATTTTCTATGGCTTACAACAATTTAACCAGAAATCTTAAGCCAGTGTGTTAGCTTTCTCTGGCTGTGACAAAATACTTGAGAAAAGCAAGATGATCAAGGAAAGGATTAATTTTGGCTCATAATTTGGTCCTATTGTTTTCAGTCCATGATGGACTGATGCTTGTGGTAGAAGAAATCTCATCTCAGGAAAAAACAGGAAGTGAATAGAGCAAAAGGAGAAGAAGGGCTGGGTCCCAGTGACTTCACTGTCTCCCTATAGGCCCCATCTACCATCTTTCTATAGCACCACAGGCTGCCAACTAAACCTTCAACACTTGGCCTTTGGAGATCCAAATCTTAATAACCAGGAAGAAGAGATGACATGATACCCAGAGTAGCCACTTTAAACTTTTTTTTTCCATTTAATCTGCTTAGAGGACATCCTTGACCCTCAAAATACAAAAAAAAAAAAAAGTACATCTTAGATTTATTTGCCATATCTTACTTGTTTTAACTCTGATTTCAATTCTGATTACCTAAGGAGATTTTTTTTTTTGTATGTTGTAATTGTTTCTTCAGAATTCCAAACAGAATGCTTGTGACAGAAGATAAAAAGATCTCTCTTAAAATTTTGAGGCGTGATTAGCTTCTTTGGGCTTTTTTGAGGGTTTTTCTTTTATAACTCGTATTTTTTTTAACCCTATTGCATTGTTGGTGGGAGTGTAAACTTGTTCAACCACTTTGGAAAGAAGCATGGAGGTTCCTTAAATTTCAAATTAGGGAATACTTCTATGTGTTTAAAAGACTGGCTTGTGCTAGATAGGGAGAGAAGTCAGAAGTGTTCAAGAGGTAAGCCAGGCCACAAGGAACTTTAGGGAGACAGATGCAAATAATGCTGAGCAAGGTGTGAATTAGATGCCATGAAAATAAAAAGGAAGCTAATCCTCTCTGCCAGGGCAGGCAGCAAAGGCTTCCCCAGAGCACTGAATGTATTCTGTCTATGATTAACATACCATTCGAAAATAAAGCCAGAGAAGCAAGGCAAAGGTACATTCAGTTATTGGAGTGATGGAAATAGTATCTACTTTGAGGCCAGCTTAGACTACCCAGTACGAAAAGAAAGAAAAGAAAAAAAAAAAAGACAAGTGAGCATCAGATAGTTTTTTCTCTCCCAGTTTACTAGCTTTTACCCCCTAGAATCTCCAACTTTCAGCTGGAGAATGAACTTTGTGAGAAAGTATCTCCAACAGCTCATTCATGGAAACTGGTTGTAAAGATGCCCATAAGCGCTTCCACTAGAAAACCAACAGCATAGCAGACAGGATCCTCAAAGACAGCGACACAAAATGGACAGCGAAGTCCTTACTGTTTCCTTGCTCTTGTCCTTCTTCCCTCAGGTCTTTGCCCAGATCGGGTCTGGAACTTGATAAGGGGGTGCCCATGCCCCCGGTGGATGCTTCCGGGCAGCGATGAAAGGCTTATCCGGCAGCCGTAGCCATCACCACGGGATCACCTGTGAGTCTGCTTGTGACTCGCTGTCCCATCGCTCGGATCGCAAGCCGTACCTGCTGAGCCCGGTGGACCACCACCCTGCCGACCACCCTTACTACACCCAACGAAACTCCTTCCAGGCCGAGTGTGTGGGTCCCTTCAGCGACCCCCTGGCTAGCAGCACCTTCCCACGTAGACACTACACGTCCCAGCAGGAGCTGAAGGACGAGTGCGCCCTGGTGCCCCGCACTCTGGCCACCAAGGCGAATCGCATCCCCGCCAACCTGCTGGACCAGTTCGAGAGGCAGCTGCCCCTCAACCGGGATGGCTACCACACCCTGCAGTACAAGCGCACGGCCGTGGAGCACCGCAGCGACAGCCCTGGCCGCATCCGCCACCTGGTCCACTCGGTCCAGAAGCTTTTCACCAAGTCCCACTCCCTAGAGGGGCCGTCCAAGGGCAGCGTCAATGGGGGAAAGGCCAGCCCGGATGAGACGCAGACTGTGAGATATGGCAAGCGCAGCAAAAGCAAGGAGCGGCGTTCAGAATCCAAGGCGCGATCCAATGCCTCCAACACCTCCCCGACCTCTCCAAGCTGGTGGAGCTCTGATGACAACCTCGACGGCGATATGTGCATCTACCACACACCCTCGGGCGTGATGACCATGGGCAGGTGCCCCGATCGCTCGGCCTCACAATACTTCATGGAGGCCTACAACACCATCAGTGAGCAGGCGGTGAAGGCCTCCCGGAGTAACAATGATGTCAAGTGCTCCACATGTGCCAACCTGCCGGTCAACCTGGATGCCCCACTCCTGAAGAAGAGCGCGTGGTCCTCCACGCTCACCGTGAGCAGAGCCCGGGAGGTTTACCAGAAAGCCTCAGTGAATATGGACCAAGCCATGGTGAAGTCTGAGTCCTGTCAGCAAGAACGCTCTTGCCAGTACCTGCAGGTACCATTTTTGTTGTGTAATGGGTGCTTTGACGTTGTTCCTGGCTTGGTTGTGTAGTCATCTCTCTCCTGGGTTGTAGTCCTCGGTTTATTCCTTGGTGTCTGTATGTATCTGAGCATATATATCCTTTACCATTTCAGTGGCTGAGTGCTCCTGTCAGGAAGCAATTGCTACCAGCTTCAGCCAGAGACTAGATATAGTGCTTTCCAAAATACTCCTACACAAAGGCAAGAGTTATTCAAGTCTTGTGTTCCTCTTTTGTCTAAGAGATCAGGGATGGGGAGGAGACAAGATGGGGAGTGTACATGGAATTTAAAATAAACCCACCTTTTTTTTCCAAAAGTAAACAAAGATCTCAATTTTGAAAAGCATTTAACTGGGTCTGTTCAGGGTTATTTTAGTTGTAAAATTCAGCTGAAGCTATTAATGGGGGGGGGGGAGAGATAAATGTACATTTTCACTATGACAATCGCCAACAGTAACTACCCAGTCCCAGTGCACAGCACAGCAGGATGATGCCCTGAGGAGGTGGAGAGGGAGCAGTTTGGGGGATCTGACAAGCACAGCTGCAGAGGCCCAGGACAACCCAGCAGAGGAGGATAAGGGGGAAGCATCAGTGCAATAAAATACAATTAGTGTCAGCATATAAATCCCACACAGGGACAGGCTCCAGGCAGGCTGCTCTTCCCCTTCCATGGTCCCCTTAGGTTTATCCTTCCACCTGGATAAAAATATCAGAGAAGTGGGTTTCTTTTTCTTCCTTACCTCCTCCCTCCAGTATTGCAGTTTTCCCCTAAAATACAAAAATGATCCTTGGATTGTTTCTTTTTGGAGCATCTCTCTCTCTCTCTCTCTCTCTCTCTCCCTCCTTCCCTCCCTCTCTCTCTCTCTCCCTCTCTCTCTCTCTTTCTCTCATGTTCTTTGCTACTGACTTTAGAAAAACATCTTTTTCTAGACTTTAAAAAATGTATAATCACTTTCATTCCCATGTCAAGAAGAAATGCAAGGAGATATTTTTTTCCACTGAGTTCTTCTTGTTACCCTCTTTGAACTCTGTGACAAATCTGGTTCCTTTGACAGTCAAGGGCAAGGACAGTGCCAGAGTCCAGGTCCAAAGTTCAGAAGAAGCCACCAGAATGTAGATAGTTTTCAAAAAAAAAAAAAGACACAATTATGTGGTCAGCAGTTCCTGTGGAAGGTTAGGAAATTGGAAGAGAAGGGAAAGAAACAGGCTTCAATTTTCTATAGACAAGGACTGTTTATTGAGATAAAGCAGCAAGGGACACAGCCTTCCCATGGGCAAAGAAACAAAAACACAATAATTTATTTATCGCTCAACTACAGAAATAAAACACCAAGTACAATGGATCATACATATGCTTTCTCCAGTTCAATATTGCTTCCTTTCCCTCTCAAAATGATAGCTATCATGTCTCTGATACCCAAAATATCTTTGCATTCAATCTTGAACTTATTGAAGGATTGATCAACAATATTATTTTTATCCTACATTGAGCAATAGTTAACTTCTAGCCATGGTAATTTAATCTTTTAAATATAAACTCCAAGTTATACTTTATTTTAAAAATATTGACATTTATTGGATTCTATGCAAGCCTTTCAAGCTAAAAAATAATAATTCTGTATTTCAAAATAAGGGATGGCATATTAGTAAAAATAAAAGTAATAATAATAGTATTACAAAATGGAGAACTATGTGTTCTTTCAGTCCTATGTGCTGAAGTTGAAGAGTTCATATGAAGAAAGGAACATGTTGACTTGTTGACACTTTGAGCAACTACTTCAAAAGAGAATTTTTTGTGTTGTTAATTAGGCTTGAACTCAGGGCTGGGTGCTGTCCCTAAACTCTTTTGCTCAAGGCTAGAGCTCTACTACTTGAGCCACAGCTCCACTTCTGGCTTTTTGTGGTTAATTGGCATTAGGAGTCTCACAGATTGTTCCTACCCTGGCTGGCTTTGAATGGCAATTGTCAGATCTCATCTTCCTGAGTAGCTAAGATTACAGGTGTACACCACCCAGATAAAGATTCAAAAAAATTAAAAGAGAAAGAAGAACTGTATATTCATCAGGAAATCCCTCCTGAGACCCAGATTCCAGTTTTATTCTTGCTTCTAGGAAATGGAAAGAATCTGCCATCCAGTGAAAGTTCTCTGGAAATAGGCTTAGCTAGCTTCAGTTGGTTCCCATAAGGTAAATTTCATTTACAATTTAGGAATGAGTTCATTCCTAGAATTAAACCTAGAGAAATATGGGAGGTTTTTGTTTTTGTTGTTTTCAGTAATATTCCCTTAATTACTAACTAATATAAAGCTGTCTTTACAAATGTGTTTCAATCAGCACCGTGAGATTTAATTAGAAGACAAAGCACTGTTATACAAGCATCTGAGTAGAAATAAGGACCTACCAATAACTAATAACATGGTCCAGAGTTTCCCTTCCATCTTTATGACCTCCTTTATCTGTCAGAAAACTATAAACTCTGTCCACATTTTTTTATTGATTTTTTTTCTTTTGTCCGTCGTGGGACCTAAACTCTGGGCTTGGGCAATGTCCCTCAGCTCAGCACCACTTCTGGCTTTTTCTACTTTTGTGGTGCTGAGGAATCAAACCCAGGGCCTCATGCATGCAAGCCAAGCACTCTACCACTGAACCACCTTCCTAGCCCCTCCTTATTCTCTTTGTCCACATTTTTAAACAACTAAGTTACATATGTCAGAATACTAATTAGAACAATTTTCCAGAGGTGGAAGGCCTGAGACTCTCATTTCAGAGGTGTTCACTACTTACTAAAAGCAGTTGCTTTTTAAGTGCTATCTAATTTGCTCTTTAAAACTCTGGAGGTATTTCACAGTTGCAAAACCTTCGATTTAGCAAATTAGGTTAAGTAAGCTGCCCAAGGACACACAGCTAGGAAGTAGCAACATGGTGGCTCCATACTGGTTCATCTGCCTTGGAAGTCTGAATTCTTTCCATTAACCCTGCCCAATCTATAATCTCCCCACACACAACAAAGCAGAGGAGGAAGTAGCATATTCTGTACTAAGAACTGGCTATAATCCCAATTAGTACTCAAAACAACTTTGTGAAGTGAGCACTATTTGGTTTTATAGACAAAACCAAGACACAAAATGATTAAAATTTTCTGTCTGGTGATGCATAGAGAGTAAGTAGAAAAGGTAACCATTGGCTCTAAATCTGTCTAATTCTATAATATGCTTGAGATATAGGAATAAATACATCTTATTTTAATGTAGCAAATGTACACGTGCCTTTGGCCTGGACTGTGTGCATGCATTAGTAGGGCATAGATATGAACTTACCCTAGCAATGAAGTAAGTGATCATGTCCCTCATCTTACTTATGACTGAACAAAGATTAAATTAAATTAATATTCATCAATAATAAAATCAAAATACTAACAAATCCCTGGGCCTGTCTTTGTAGAATTATCTATTAGAATTCAAGAATTCATTTGATTATAGAATTGTCAAGATTGTGTTCAAAAAATTAAGAAGTCTATAGGTATCTAACCTGTGCCTGTCATTGGCTTAGAAATACATTCTTAGCTTGCAAGCATTGTACCTGTCAGCATAGTCAATTAATGATATGTGCTCACTCACAAGCTGTTTCAGTTAATTTTTTTAAAAAGACTCCCTTTTCCCCCAATATTGTTATTTTTAAATGTCAAGAATCAGATGTCTGCTGTTTAGCACTATTGTACTGCTGCCAGTGACTGTCTGTATTAAGGCTGGGAGCAGGAGCATGGATTTGAAGACACTAAAACTGTTTAATTCTCAGTTGAGATGTGGTTGGCTTTTATACATTTGGAATAAAGCATTTATGGCACATCTCAGGGTAAGTGCTAATAGTTCAGTAAATAAAATAGACTGCAGGGGAGGGGTGTTGTTTTGTTTTTGCATTTAAGAAGCAGAATTCTCGGTTCTGATTATGCCTCTTTTTATAAACGTGGTGTGTATTGAGTGGCATACAAAGCCATTCAGGAGAGCAAGATTTTAGATTTCCAACTGTTAACCTCAAAGGAAAAAAATCACTTCAAATCGTGCATTTTGCATTCATCCAGCAGCAGATACAGGAAAAGGGAAAGCAAACGCTCTCCGTGAGAAGTAGAGAGAGACACACGCAGAGAGAGGAAGCAAGAGAGAGAGAGAGAGAGAGAGAGAGAGAAAGACAGGAACTGAGAAAGATAGCACTCTCAGATATGAAATTTTAGGACAGCAAAATGATCGACCTTTTTAAGGCTGAGTGGGTTTCTTCAGTTTGCGTGCAGGTTTCAAGAAATGGAAGGACTGACCAGGTTTGGGTATAACTCTTTTATTACTTTGTATTTGATAAGTGTGTGCATGTGTGTGTGTGGTTGGCTTGTGTTGTCCAGTGGGTTGTGTTTTTCACGGAAGAGGGTGAGAAAGATACTTTTATTATTTTGTTATTTTCTTTCTTGTCTAAATAATGCCTAATGAGACATAAGAGCTGATAAACCAATATATGTACAGATCATATGAAAACAGGTGGGAGTGTCAGGTACCTATAAATCTGTCTGCACAAAGGCTTCATAAAATAAATTGGCATGATCCCGGGTGCTATGTTAAAGGACATTATATAGCTGGTGGATGATATGTGAGCAATCATTTTCCTACATAATGATCCTGAGTACTTACTGATCCTTTGAGTTTTGGGGGATTTTTGGTTTGTTTCATTTTATCTGTTGCTTAAATAAAAATCCATAGAAGACCATTCAAGAAGCATTCATAGCAAATATGAGTACAGGATTGCTTTTGAGAGTTGTTTTTTCCTTTATTAATGTAGATACAGTTATTTCTCAAATCTGTTTCAAAACTATTTTCTTCTTTGCCTAGTAGGAGTTTTCTTTCTCTGGATGGGTTGTTTCCTTCTCTAGTCTTAGAACAACTTAACTTGTATTACTTATATTTAAATAACTTGACATGAAATTTATGAAAGTG